GCAGCCGGGCTCAGCTCCTGTACTCATGCCAGTGGCGTCTTCTATGGAGTCAGTCCCTCTCATGTTTGGCTTCCCTCTTTTCCTGCTGTCTTACAGTTTCTCAGTATTATTTTTTCCAAAGAACCCTGCCTCCTCATGATGTGCCTTAAGTGGGGCGTCTTCATAGTTTTGTCATTTGGCTCCCGGGATATTCACTTCCGTTGCTCTGGGACCCACTTGCTCACCTCGCTGGCGTCCAGGGCACCGCAGAGCTCTCCTCCAACCTGTTTCAGATGCATCCGTTTCTCCTATCAGCCTTCTTTGCATCTGTCCTCGACATGGTGTCCATGGTAACACAGGGGTGTGGATGACCTTAGCCTTGTCTCTAAGGACACATCTTTGCTCTTGAGTGCATCCTGGGGAGCAGAGTTCTGTTGCAGGCCCAGATACCCTTGCCACATCTTCCTTCCCCTCCGTCCAGCACCCACACCCTCCTCCCACCCAGCACCCGCACCCTCCTCCCACCCAGCACCCGCACCTCCTCCCATCCAGCACCCGCACCTCCTCCCACCCAGCACCCGCACCTCCTCCCACCCAGCACCCACACCCTCCTCCAACCCAGCACCCGCACCTCCTCCGGGAAGGCAGTCCTCACACCTAGTCAGGCTCTCTGGGGACGGCAGGCCTCTCAGGCCGCGGTCTGTCCGCTGACACGGATGTGCACTCGGCCCCCAGCACCCGCAGGACTTGAAATCATAGGTGGGGGTCCCTATTTGAGTGGGGGCACTGGTTTTGTTTTGCTGCTTAGTCAATGTCATTAGAGGGTTTTTCTTACGTTGCTGTAAATCTGGGAGGGTTTGGACATTTCTCTTTGGACAAATAGTTAGGAGGACGTCCTGTTTTCTCAGGGACTGCAAACCCAGCTAAGCCGCCGTGGCCGAGGGAGACCCTGGGCGCTGGCTTTTGATGTCTGGGTGTTTGCGCAGGCGGGTCCTGAGCCGTGACTGACCACCTCCACCCCTGCCCCGCCTGCCCAGGAAGGTTAAGGCTGAGCCAGTGTCTCCACGGAGGGAGGGAGTGCTGGGGGAGTCAGTAGCACAGGGAATAGGGGAGTTTCTAGCTGATAATGAAATCAAGGCAATTGGAGGGCCTGTGGGCCCCCCACCCCAATAAAAATAAAAAGTAAAAACCGTGTGAGTGATGTTCCCCGGGAGTCTGACCCGGCCGAGCCCCCCTCCCCAGTCGGGTTCGAGGCGGTCCCCCCCACCCCCTGCGTCCTCCCGCGGTCATTTTCTCCGACGCGCCTTTCTGGCCGTGAACTGCACCGTCTGCTCTGTCGTCAAGGCAGCACCTCTTGGGTGTGACGCTGGTTCTGGACGATGTTAGACCCTTTCTTCTCCTTCCGGTGCTGTTTCCTGGTAGGTGTCCCTGAGACCGGTCTGCTCAGCGGTTGGACGGGTCCCGAGGGCAGGGGTTCAGTCCTGGGTCTGGACCAGTGAATTGTGTGTGTTCCAGTCATGCCCTCCAGCTGCGGACCCAGAAAGCCCTCCGCACGGGAGCTGTGGGAGGGGTGGGCGCCGGCCGGTCCATCGTCACTGCCGGAGGACACCCCAGTGCTCACTGTGCGTGGCCAGGAGCCCACACGTGGCCAGGAGCCCGCACGTGGCCAGGAGCCCGCGTGCCTGTGTAACCTCCTGATGAGCGTGGCTGACCCTCTGCCGTGAGGAGGGCGGAGGCTGGACCACGGAGCTCAGGAGCTTGGGGGTCACCGAGTCACTGTGGTCCTTTGGGATCGTGTCGTGTATTTGACTTGCTGTGTCATTTTTATTTCACATTTATTTATTTATTCTTTATTGTTGTCTCTTTTCTGAGCCTCTGCCAGACACTGAACGCTCCGTGAGTGCGGCAGAGTGTGGGGAGCCAGGCGGCCCCAGACTCGTTGTAGTGACTCCCTTTGACTCTTGTGCGTCCTCCATCCACTGGCCACCGGTGTGCTGGTTTTCATTTGCAAAGAACAATTTCTATTTCCTTATTAAATGCATTTGTTTCCTCCACATTGTGTGAGCCCCTTGACTTTTCAGGTTTACGTCTGCCTTCATCACTCAGTGAGCAAGCGTGGACGGAGTGCGTCCTGTGTGCCGGGCGCTGTGCCAGATGCCGGAGGGAGAATGAGGGAGAAGGTGCCCTCCTAGCCTCCCGTGCATTTCATCGGGAGACAGGTGTGCATTCAGTCCACGCGGTTCCGTGCACCGTGTGGGCTGCGTGGGGAGCTGGGGCCGCGGGCGGTGGGCCCATAGGTAGCCCGATGCAGGGAGAGAGCTTGACTGTCCAGTGAGGTTTTTTGAGCAGTTGCTCCTGTGTGTCAGGCATTGTTCCTGACGCCCTGAAGCTCCGTCTGGCCGGGAAAATGCTGGACCTGAAGGCTGGGCACCCACCAGCTCTGTAACCGCCTTGCTTTCCACAGCTGCGGGATCGGGGCTCCGGGTGCTCCCCCCTCAGCTGCGGGGTCAGGGCTCTGGGTGCTCCCCCCTCAGCTGCGGGGTCGGGGCTCCGGGTGCTCCCCCCTCAGCTGCGGGATCGGGGTTCCGGGTGCTCCCCCCTCAGCTGCAGGATCGGGGCTCCGGGTGCTCCCCCCTCAGCTGCAGGGTTAGGGCTCCGGGTGCTCCCCTCTCAGCTGCAGGATCGGGGCTCCGG